TTTTTGCAATAACTTTTTTGTTTATTAACCGATTTTAATTTAACCAGTCTCATTTTGTAGATAATTTTACTCCCTATAAGCTGTCTGAGAGTCACTTTTCGCTAAAATTGATGGTTTTCCCTGCAAAGTGAAAAAACTGTTTTCCTCACTTATTTGTTTAAATAGAAAAGTTAGCTAATAAAAGTTTTTGACTCACGAGACGAGAGATGTCTTGTATTATGTTCCTTTAGACAATTTTACAATAATCTAGCGGATAGGACTTTTTTCGAATAAAAATTTAATTTGCTTGGTCTATTATATTAGTTCAAGAGATATCGATGATCAAAAAAAAAAAAGTGACTTCACTCAAGAGCCGATATCTCAATGAGAAATAATCGTACAGAAAATAAAAAAATCCATATTGAAGCTGACGAATCAGGCTAAATGACCTTAGCATTGGTCAAGCTAGAAAAAAAAATTCTGAGCCCATGAGCAGCTTAAAAAAAAATGTAAAATTTTAGCCTTTCATTGCTTGATTGCGAGAGCGATGCTCAAAAAAAATTTTTATCAAGATTTCAAAACTAGAATCTACAAGCTTCAAGATGCTCCTTTTTTTTCTCAATACGACCATTATTCACGAAGTCACGATCTTTCCAAAACCGCTAAAAAATTTGAAAATTTTTCTGTTCCCTTAATTCTTTTGCCGAGTATACATAGCGACAGTAATTTGGCACCTAAATCCTCTGAAAAAGCCGCTCAACTATTTCCATCACAATCCTTCAGCTGACGTAAACCCCCACATCTCCAGCTTAAGAGTTGTTGAAACAGTTTCCGACTCGCTGGCGCACACCTGCCGTAAATCGGCGGGACTTCTTTTTCCCATCTATCCCCCTTATATTCCCAGCCAGATATAATATTTCACGGTCCACCGTATCCAGGAGGTCCGGAAATATAAATCACCGGATCTCGGTGTTTGTCTTGGAATTGTTCGACTGTTGTTTACGTTTGAATAAAGTTCCTGATCCGGAAGAGGGAACTTCCGGTCTGCGTGGGCGTTGGGAGGGCTCCAAGTTGTTGCGTGAGTACTGCGGTAATGTATGGCCAAACGGGGATCTTCCCGGATCCAGGTGGAATAGTCGATTAAGTTTCGCTCGAAAAATAATGTTCTGTTGCCGTCGATTTTATTTTTTTTTATATTTTTTCCAATAAATATACAGGGTGGAAAAGGAATTTGAATTTCCAAACAATTATTAAAAAAATATCTTTAAACGTATGTCCGGAAACGTTTCGTTTCCAAGATACAGGGTGTTAACAATATTTTGTGTTAAAAAAATAAATAAAACTTTTACATTTCAATTTTTTTCGCGACTACCCCTGATAATCCTGACCTTATTCTCTTCTAGGAGATGCAGATCCTCGAATTCATCGAACTGAACCGCCTGCTGGGCGTCGAACACTTCACCTTCTACAACCACACGATCGGCCACCAGGTGGCGTGCGTCCTGAGGGACTACGCCGACCGCGGCATGGTTACCATGCTGCCCTGGCAGCTGAACATGGTCTCGCAGAAGGAGATCAGGACGGAGGGCCTGTTCGCCGCCCTCAACGACTGCCTGTACAGGTCCATGTACAAGTACTCGCACGTGCTGCTGATCGACCTGGACGAGTACGTGGTGCCCAAACACAACGACACCCTGCCGCAGCTCATCGAGTAAGTGTATCTTTTTTGTTGTTGGTTAATTTTTTACGACGACCGCCGCCTAATCGTACATTATAAAGCCCCATGGCTCGACAAGTGACGTCACGCGTAGAGCGATAAGTTCAAACTATGTATGTCGGCTGTTGGAGTGAATTAAAGAGAAAACTTTGTAATTTTACATTTTACGGTAAAAAATGCACGCGATGAAAAGGTTTGTTTGTATTTAAAATGAGGTTGCCATGGATATGGTTAACATTCCATGTACGGGGTGTCTAAAAAATTTAAAAAATATGAAAATGTCATAAGAGTAGACTACCTTTATTCATACTCTTTCGAAAATGTGATAACTTGTCAAAAGGCATGCCAAAAACTTACTTCAGTTTTTATATAAAACAGTTTGTACACAAAACTGGTTTAATTTTTTAAAGAACGTAATAAATTTGGTAAAAAACATACAGGTTGTCAGAATTGACTGCCATTACTTCAGCATGCGATAGAATAGTCGTAAATGAACAAAAAAGTTGTATATTACCGGAGCGTAAGATTAACAGTTTTCAAAATACATTTACAACCTAACAACCCACAAACCCTGTATCCATAACCTATAAACCCTCAATCCATAAACTTATATTCCACAAATCCGTGGACCTTTAACCCATGAACCCTAAATATTTACCTATACCTATGTCCTTAACCCTTGAAATAAAAACCCATTAACTTTTATCCCTCAACCCATACTGCGTAAACTTATAGACCCGTATGTCCAAAAGACACACTAAATCTCACCCCATACACCAAACCCAATAATCTTAAACGCACAAGTCCTAAATACGTAAACCCAAATGGATTTGGTGTATAGGTTCATGGTTTATAGGTTTTGAATTGATGGTGAACTCAAAACATAATTTTTATGTCCATCAACTCAAAACTCATCAATTCAAAACCCATAAACCATGAACCTATACACCAAATCCGTAAAATCCTAAATTGATAGGCACTAGAGATACGAGCTCTAAATACATATAGCCATTACACACATTTATCTTATATTGAATCAATTATATTTAGTCGTCAATTTGGGATTAAGGTTCATGGGTATTAGGGATGTGGATTAAAGGGTTGATGGATGTAGGATTTGTGGGTTTATGGCCAATGGGTGGACCTAGGGTTTTTGGGTTTGGGTTTAGTTACTTTTGAGATGATAAATTAGTTTGGTTATGATTTTAGAGTTTGAAAGTTTAGAGTTAATAGGTTTTAGAATTATGGGTCAAAGGTTTGGTTTATGGGTTTACGATTAATAGGGTGTGATTTTATGGGTTTGAAATTATAGCTCGATTATTTAAGTCGAGAAAAAATAATTTCGGATTCTGGGGAACACCTATAAAAACTGAACCCACTTAACGTTACTCCCCGTGTAGTTTTCAATAAGCCTGGGGCTCTGGCAATATCGCGACGTCTTCTTACGTTCGACGGCGACATAAAAAGGCAATATCCCTCCGCTGCATATGTTGTCGAGATACATTTGCTGCCGCGTATGGATCGGGAGGCGAGATTGAAACGTCGCAGTCCCGACAATACCTCAAATTCCTGCGAAACCCCTACTGGGGCAATCGGGTAATCCGTGTTGGCGGCTTTGTCGTTTTATGCATCTGTTTTCCATTCCGAAGTTATTAAAATAAAATACAAAGCGCGATCTCCGGGAAATAGGGCGTTTTCTCGGAACACGTTTTCCCCAGAGCTTAGAGACGTAAATATGTTCTTAGGCGAAGTTACTGTTTTATTACTTTTGCGACTAGGAGTTGATCGACGTGGTGCAGCTGGATGAATTCTTAAAATCGCTATTTTGTATTGCTCTGTAAAATCTAAATCACATTTACCAGTTGTTGACGTAATATGTTGTTCATTTGTAGTACACGGGGTGTTAATTAACTTGTGTCAAAAATTTAAAGGGGTGAAAGAGGAGAAAAAACTGATATAACTACTGTATTCGAAAGTCAGTCTATAATACATTGTCGTACTGATTACTGTGCTGTTTTTCGAGAGATATTTCGCATCCTGTTGTGTGGCGGACAATACGAGAAGCTCAGTTATACCCATTTCATATTCAACGTGTTCAAGCGCTTACTCCTAAGAATTTTCCACTACGTTAAGGTTTTTGCAATTGGTTGCTTCAGGAACGCGCAAGAAATCCTCAATTTACAGCGCAAATCCTCGTTACAGATGAAGCATGTTTCAGTCGAAATGATGTATGTAACGTCCACAACACTGGACTATCGAAAATCCACACGAAATACGTCGCGGTGCCTTTCAGCAACACTTTTCAGTGAACATGTGGGCCGATATCGTTAATAGACGGTATAGACGGTATAGTTAATAGACGGTATAGACGGTATAGTTAGACGGTGCTTCATACCTAGATTTTTTTACAAAGTCACATCGACCAACTGCGGCATCGTATTGTCGAAGCTTGGAATGCGATTCGAGAGGAAGTGACAATTGCAACGCGTGCGAGCGAATTGGATACGTCACGCTGAGGCTTGTGTGCAAGCAAATGGTGGGTACATCGAATATCTTCTATTAACATCAGCAGTTCTCAAAAGGGGCTCCTTGCAATGCTGAGGCTACTCAGATTTTAAAATTACATTTTACTCAACACAGATAAATGTATTTACCTCATTTTGACATAAAATTCAAATGCTTACATGACAGAAAGAAAACATACTTTTAAATAAAGAACAGTAAATACAACAAAATAAACAATCAACAATTAATAAAAAACTGATCAATTTTCTGTAACAGCTGTTGGAAGCGATCTTCATTTATTTCGAACTTCGTATAAAAGCGCACGCGTAGCTTCGTCAAGAAACAAATTACTGCGATATCTGTTGACTAATAGAACACGGAATATAATTTATCTTACGACCAAAAACGGCATTAATTACGAGTGGATTTAATTAAATTCCTAGGGCGACGTCCGTCCGGATTTAAACCGTCCCTCAAATCCGGCGAGCAAAAAGCGAATTCGGAGACAAATGATCCAATCAAGCCCGCCAGCTAACTTTGGAAGCGATAAAGCGCACTGTTGCACTTTTCGTCGTCAGAAACGGAACCAGACTGGAAAATAATTACTATAATAAGCCCTTTGCGATTTATGCCCGGATTGTTCGACGGCGGCTGTTCTAGATTTATCCAAGCTTTGGATATCTCGTCATTTATTAATAAAATGGTGCTAGTATACAAACAGGAGATATTTCACTCTCGCACTTGATGCACATTGAATATATCTTCGTCCTATATTATAAACTTGAGTAATAAAAAATCGAAATAGCCTCGATGTATATTTTATATTTCAAACTAGCAACCCGCCCCGGCTTCGCTCGGGCAAATATAAAATAGCCAAAGACAACAAACGAACTCAAAACTAAAAATGCGAAACCTTTAAATTTAAAACAATATAGGTAACTACCAACATGTGAAAACAAAACGAATTAAATTAAAGTACCTATGTTCAGGACTATCAATTTTAATTAATAAGTAAGTAGTTAGGTATCTAACTACCTAAAGAAAACAAACACGAAACAAAAATGCGACTATGAAGTTTTAAATGATTCACAATAAGAAAAAAACAAACAAATTATTAAAACTCAATGAAATAAAAGTATGTTTGCAAGTATCTATGTATGTTCCGACTACCTAAAGACAACAAATACAAAACAAAAATGTGACCTTAAAATATCGAACGTAATTATAACTTTCAAACAACACCCAGAAAGAAAACACAGTCGTCAGTCGTCACCTCCATTCACTCTAAGTCATTTTATTAAAGGATCACGTTGGCGATTGCATCAAGCGAAGCGAGGCCCTTGAATTTTATTCTCGCGTCCGTAATTTTTTTGCGATTACTCCTAAGATATTCATTTAAATTATATGGTGTAAAAGAGTAAAATAATGTGTATGAAATGCTTAAAGCCTCTAACTTATTTAAAATGATATGGATTAATACCGTATTTGTGTAAACAGCTTTTACATTACCTACCGCTTTATAATTGCCAATTTTTTAAAGTATTAAAATGGATATAAATAGTATGTTATCTTTAACATATAGACTATAGACATATGCCATCGCGGACTTTTCTGTGGCATATATAAGATACACAATTCCACCATACATTGATACACTACATAAACTTTCGGACTCCCCCCGGCTCGGACGCGTGGCGCGGGGTCACGGGGCGCCCGCGCGGCCAGGTCGAATCACGGCGACACGAAATTAATTTCGTTGCGCATTATTTTGATTTTGCTAAGGTATTCATTTAATTTACATGGTGTAAAGGGAAAAAATAATCTTCATGAAATGCTCAAGCCAACTAACGTATTTAAAATGATAAGGATTAATACCGTATTTGTGTAAATAGCTTTCCAATTACCGCTTTATAATTGCCCATTTTTTAAAGTATTAAAATGGATGTTAGCCTTAAGAGATAGACATATGCCATCGCGGACTTTTCTGTAGACCTATATAAGATACACCATTCCACCATACATTATTTTGTTATATCTCAAAGGGTTTAGGCAGCGTTTTCGTTGAAAACTCCCAGACGGCTTATTTTTTTCCGACACCTCCAAGAAATATCGTTAATGTATACAAAAACTTAACAAATTATATACTAAGACCTTCCTCGAGAACCACTTTATCCATTGGTGAAAACAGTAGGAAAATCGGTGCAGTAGTTTTTGAGTTTATCGCGAACAGACAGACAGGCAGACGCGGCGGAGGACTTTGTTTTATAATATGTAGTGATTTCTCGCATTTAATAAATAGTTCTCGACTCGACCGCTTAGATCGCTGCTAATTGTTTAGTTGGCAGCATTGAGATCAATCTATAGCGTTGTTAGCTGTGATTGTGCCGTTCTATTTGGTTCAGCAACATCATTTACATGAGAAGAATGATTTACCTCGCCTGAGTTCTCAGTTGTTTTCTTTTCAGTTGAATGTCAAATCGAATGCAGCTATTGTCCTCAGTTAGTCGGTATTTTTAGGGATAATTTAGGCTTAGGGTACTGTTTTAAAAATATACAATGGAATATAAATAGATCTGTTTTGTACTGTTTTTAATAGGAAATAAACAAACCAGGAATAAGGTCGAAGCCTAAAGCTAAACAGAGCCGTTTCTCCTTCCAGCTATTTGAACCATCGACTAAACACCCGCACCACGGGCTCCTTCTCCTTCCAGAACGCCTTCTTCTACCTGCAGTGGGAGGACGACGACTCCGTCTACGGCTTCGACGACCCCGTCTCCGCCAACCTGGTGACGCTGCGGAAGACCCGACGGCGGAGCAAGCTGCACCCCCACAAGCAGCGCTCCAAGTACATCTGCAAGCCCGAGTTGACCGTGGAGGCGGGCAACCACTTCGTTTGGGAGTTCGTGCCGGGACACGGCACCCTGAACGTGCCCGCCGACGCCGCCATCTTGCACCACTACAGGATATGCGAGTTCGGGGGCGACGACTGCATCAAGACGGCGTCGGTCGTGGATACGACGGCATATAGGTGAGTTTAAGAAGTGGATATAAAAAATGCAAACACAAAAAAAATAAGTGGAGAATTTTTCTACAGGGTGATTTGTAAATGAGTAGCTAAAATATGTGTTTTAAACAAATTGTTTTGTTTTGCCTCTAGATGGCGATAATGTTGGCAAAAGATAAAAAGTAAATTTTCAACTTTTCTTAAATATGTTTGATTTTATCAATATTAGATGAGGAAATACAGAGCATTCATAAATGTTTACAAGCCACGTGACTGCCGAGCTTAGGCAACCAACATTGCAGAGCTGATACTAGATTCGTTTACAATGAACATTGACAAACGTTTCTGACAGGGTTTCAACCAGATATTATGATCAGACATCGTCTGTTTTACTTTTTTGTTGTTTCGAAGCATAATAGTAAACGAGATCAAATTTTTGACCGTTTTGTGCGAGTTCCTTGCTTTCTTTGTACAGTTTTTAACCAGGTGGTTGAAAAATAGCCTCTGTTTCGATGAGCAGATTTTTGAAGGATTTCCAGCATTTTCCTCTTAATCTATTGATATATTTTATTTTTTTTTTTTTGGTTCTAAAGTGCCTTTAAAAAATTTCATCTGAATTAATAGCAACGATCACAAAAAATTTTAAAAAATGGTGTTTATGCCTGTAATTCGAAGACAATCTTCAAAAAGCCCTTTTTTATTTGGTTGTCAGTTTGTGATTCTATTTTTTTACCTTCAATTCAGGTGTTTTCGATTCAATTTATCTAATGGTAGTGAAAATTGAAGGTTTTTTCTAAATTTTTAATTAAAGAACCTGTCAATTTGAAAAATCAAAAAGAATTTTGAAATAACTGTTCTAGAAATTTATAGCAAGTTAATATTAAAATAAAAAATTTTTGATTAAGTTGTTAATAAAAAAGATCTACTGAATAGTCAAAAACCCACAAATACAATCATGTCATGTATTGAAATAGCAATTAAAATTTAAAAGAAAATACTCTCACCCTTCACCCTTAAACATGGGCGTAGCTAGAATTTTTGCTTGGGGTGGGCCAATGGCTGCAAGCTCTATGGAGCCTCTAAAAAAATAAAATTTTAAAAACCTGAACACGTATTTCATTCTAAAAAAAGGTCATCTTTTTTTCTTAGGTGCACACCCCTGCTTCCCATTAGCTACGCCCATGATTATAATCAATATAGGGTCAAATGTAAAAAGTATTACTTCCACAAAATCTAATTCATATGAATTTAAATGTTTTATAGCCATTATACTATCTTTATACAGGATGTTTCGGTTTATGTTTCGATTATTTCTTCATAGTGTTGATATTTGAAAAAACATATTTTATAAAATATTTTCGATTTTGATGAAATTTTATTTAACGATTTGTCTGATTAAAATTAAACATTTACTAAATTCGATTATAAAGTCACTGCTTGTAACTCATTGTGGTGATTCCAAGAAAAAAATCCGATTTATTCTAAAAACGGACTATTTTTTGACTTATTTTTGCTTTTTAACTTATATTAAGTCAGCTACTAAGCACCGGAGATTTTCCTCGAAGTTTTTCTCGGACTCTTTTCCCGGATTTTTTCTCCGGGAAAACAAATGAACAACAACAAATGAACAAATTATATACTCTGCCCCAAATAAATGGACTATATTCTGTTCCAATTTTGCCTTAGTTTTGATGTTATTTCCACCGAAAAGACAGTTTTTTCAAAATGTTTGTACAATCACATTTAAACTGTTTTTAAGTTGACAAATTTTTTATTTTTACTCTTGAGTGGTTCACACTGCATTCTGTAAATAAAAAAGAGGAAGCAATGGTGTCACAGATACTGGGTGAGACAGTATTTAAGTTAGGGTGGCCCAAAAAAAAACGAATATTTTTTTTCGTGTCTCTTGTGAAAACATGTTAGTTTATCATGTTTTAAGTGCCCCCTCAAAAAATCAACTCAAAAAAGTTTTTTTTGAGGTAGCTCGAGATATTTAAAAATTTCCAAAATCGTCAAAAATTTATTTTTTTTTCTTTTACATTTTTTTCTCGTTTATTATTTTCTAGGATGAAAAAAATCTCGATTCTGAAAATTTCAAATTGATGTTTTATTTTCTAAAGGTCACTTATAATTATTTTACTTTCAAAGTAGTGTTTTCGAGCAACCTCTAAAAATAAATATAAACGAACTAATAATTTTTTTTATTGAATTTGATGAACAAAAGAATAGAAATAAATCACGAGATACTTAAAAATTTCTGTAGGCAAAATTTACTACTGCACTGTGAGTATCAAATATTTATAATTTTTTAATTTTTTAAAATTTATGTGTGGTGATTTATTTCTATTCTTTTCATCAAATTCAATAAAAAAAAATTATTAGTTCGTTGATATTTATTTTTAGAGGTCGCTCGAAAATACTACTTTGAAGGTTAAAATAATTATGAGTGACCTTTAGAAACTAAAATATCGATTTGAAATTTTCAGAATCGAGATGTTTTTCAACCTAGAAAATAACAAAATAACGAGAAAAATATTTAAAAAAAAAATTCAATTTTTGATAATTTTGGAAATTTTTTTTGACCTGAATTTTAGGGGGGCTCTTAAAACATGATAAACTAACATATTTTCACAAGAAACACGAAAAAAAATATTGGTTTTTTTTTTGGGCCACCTAATTTAAATAGACGAAAAATTAAATTATTCACAGTGTTTACTGTATATTTAAGTAAAGTAAAAATGATTGGCCAGTGTTGATCTACGTCTTATTAAAATAATAAACAGGAATGTAACATTTTGAAAAAATTGCCACTTGTCTTAAACGGTTTTAGACTCATAAAATGGGAACAAATAGTAATTTTGTTTTGAAATTTTGAGAGCGTATATTTTAATAGTTTTACTAACAATTTATGCAATAAATTAATAAATAAAATAAATTTTTCCCCCTTAAATACTTGCAATTTTGTTGAAATCAACTTGAGCTTCTGTTTTGGTGCTGTTTTGTCCGTTTCGTGTAGATCCGTCTTAAAACTGGGATATTTTTACCATTTCTGCAAATGCAGGCTACTTTGATACCATATTTAAGAGGGCTCTAATTAAATAGGCAACCAGCAATACATTTTTATAGATTTTATTACACAGTTTGTCTAAATGTGCATTAATGCATAAATAGCAGACTTTCCTCCATTCGAACGCAAATTTTCTAAAAAATGGACTTGGATTGAAACTCATAATACATTTTGTTCTAAAGAAATTTGTAATTTGCATCGTAAATTACAAATTTCTTTACACGTAATTTGAGTTTGAAACTAACTTCATTTTATAGAAAATCTGCGTTAAAATGGGGGAAAGTCTGGTATTTGAGCGTTAATTCATATTTAGACAAACTGTATTGAAATCTATAAAAATATATTGCTGGTTGCTTATTTGCTGTAGAGCCTTCTTAAGTCAGATAAAGCATTTTAGGATTATCTGGAAAAACTAAATTTTTTTGTCAATCGAGTTTATACAAGGAGTAAAGACTCATGGGCCGTGCATACAAATTCGGATACTGTTTTATGATCCAAATTAAAGTTTATGCAGTTGCCGTTGTAGCGCTGAGAGACTAGTAACGAAGGACTTGTTTAGCATTTATTAAGAAATTAGAAAAAAAATTAAAGTTTATACAAACCATACGTCGTTTTAAATTTCTCGTGCATCTTTTTCATATTCTACTTACATCAGCACCGCCTTTACGTGGCCCAAGAAATGGCTTTATTTTTAACACAGAGCTTTGCTCCTTGTATAAACTCCAAATTGTCTTATTCTGACTGCAAAAATCTATAAACGGAACATTGGAATGCCTTATACAGGGTGTTTCAGAAAGACCTCCCGCAAATTCAGGGGGTGATAGTACGGCAAAAAATAAGAATTTTTTGTCACATGAACTATACTTATGTTCATCTCCTCTTATTTTCGAGATACAGAGCGACAAAATAAAATATTTTAAACAGAATTTTTACGAGAATTTCCAAACGGTGCGAAATATTTTTGTGAAATTTGAAATTCTGGAGTTTTAATGACGTCAAATATGCTGGTTTAATTATTTTTTGGATATTTCATAGAGGGCACTAATTACGCTGCATTCCTATTACATTTTAGGTTATAATTTTTTTAAGGTTAGGTTTTTTACCATTCGGGCTTCAATTTCTAATGCACAATTTTATTTTCTAAAAATAATGTACTCCTGTTAGATAGACATATAGTTCATAAGACAAAAAATTCTTATTCTGAATTTACGGGAGCTCTTTCTGAAACACCTTGTATATGTTTTTGTTGTAAAAATCATTACTTTTTTCTAATTGTACAATTTTATTTCTACTCCGATTAATTCTAGGTATAAGAACGTTTTGACTGAAGCGGTGAAAGCCAGATATAACCGACTGAGGCCCCGATGCGGCTTGGGGGACCTCAAGCTACCCCAGACGAGGGTCTTCAACAAACTGATCAACTTGCTGAAGGCGGGACAGAGTTAATGGAAGAGACACTCGAGAAATCGCGAGACGCAGTGATCTATATTTAATATCGAGTTGATGTGAGAACGAAATTTTTATTCAGTATTAAAGACTGTAAATATTTTTGTACATAAGTCTCTCTCGGGGTATATTTTCTGTTGGCCGCTTTGGGACGTTTTCCATGCGGTTGGATACCGAACGTGCTAGGTTCGTATCGCAATGGGAAATTGTCGATACGAACCAATTTTGACGGTAGTTTTCAAATTTCAGTCCCAATTCCGGCGAGCAGAGGGTGCGCCCCCAGCACAAAACTTGGAACTTTTTACTCAATAAATGTAAAAAATTGTTGTAAGATTGTTATGTAGGATTTTATTTTGACAAGATTTTTTGTACATATCGTTATGTATAGAAGAAATAAACTTTGTTCACTATGCTCAGAAATGGTCAATATTCATTTATCCCCAAGAAACGCAAAGACGGAAATTGAGAATTTTTCTTCGGCGACAGCGCCATCTAAGCTTCGTAAAATTAATGTACCAACAGTGTTACAGTTAACTACATTTCTTATTGTAACTTTTCAACACTAGATGGAGCTATATAGAAATTTAGAACTATGGTACATTAGAACTACGGAATTATTTAATGCCATTTCATTAGTCACTTTACACAAATTGCTTTTCATTTCCTGATTAGAGTGAAAAACCGTTTGGAATTAAGTACCTTTCCACACATATTACTTTCCACTTGTAGTTATATTTATCGAGAATGGTGGCGCCATCTATATATTAAGAGTTCAATTAATTCGTTCGGTGTTTCGGCTGTTACAGTTGGCTACCTGCTATAGAATTATTCCGCGTTTTGATGCAGTTTCTGAACGACAGATGGCGGCATGAAAATTTGGAACTTTTTAATGCAGTTTCATTGGTCAATCGACATAAGAGACCGTTCCACTTCATTGAACAAATCAATGATTGGAATGANCTTTTGGACTAAGGTAAGTTCGGCTAAATCGCAATATTTTTACTTGGGGAATCTACCCATGAATTTTGGCCCATTATCTCGGGACCACCCTGTATATTAAATAAATATGTTTAAAAAAACTTAAAATATAATTTGATCCAAATAAATCAAAATTCCTTTCAACTATTCCTATATCAATGAATATTCATACATTAAGCCACTGTTTTATGTTAAAATATATAATATTCTCAGAGGAAAAAACTATAACTGTTATTGGATGTTTCGATAGATATGATTGAAAAATATTCACTCGCCTTAAACTAAACACACGTAAATACACAATAATAAGCAAGAAAAAAATTTAAATAAATAATGCACATTCACATTTACATTTGCCGTGTTCCTGTGGAAAGTAACAAAGGGAGATCTCCTATTCGACAATACACGAATAGTGATGCAAAGTAGCCGAAGATGAGCGAAGTGTTCATTTCTTATATGTATTGCGTCTTAGCATCCCGGGATTTTAACTGGGATGCATCTCCTTCTTTGTCTTACTAAATGTATTTTCCTCTCTTTCACTGTCGCATATGGTTAGTAATATCATTGTATAAGTAAAATATTTACTTATACAATGGTAATAATATGTGCTTTCCACTTGTAGTTATATTTATCGAGAATGGTGGCGCCATCTATATATTAAAAGTTCAATTAATTCGTTCGGTGATTCGGCTGTTACAGTTGGCTACCTGCTATAGAATTATTCCGCGTTTTGATGCAATTTATGAACGACAGATGGCGGCATGAAATTTTGGAACTTATTTAATGCAGTTTGATTGGTCAATCGACATAAGAGAACGTTCCACTTCATTGAACTAATCAATTGATTGGAATGATNGGGACGTTTTCCATGCGGTTTGATATCGAACGTGCTAGGTTCGTATCGCAATGGGAAATTGTCGATACGAACCAATTTTGACGGTAGTTTTCAAATTTCAGTCCCAATTCCGGCGAGCGGAGGGTGCGCCCCCAGCACAAAACTTGAACTTTTTACTCAATAAATGTAAAAAATTGTTGTAAGATTGTTATGTAGGATTTTATTTTGACAAGATTTTTTGTACATATCGTTACGTATAGAAGAAATAAACTTTGTTCACTATGCTCAGAAATGGTCAATATTCATTTATCCCCAAGAAACGCAAAGACGGAAATTGAGAATTTTTCTTCGGCGACAGCGCCATCTAAGCTTCGTAAAATTAATGTACCAACAGTGTTACAGTTAACTACATTTCTTATTGTAACTTTTCAACACTAGATGGAGCTATATAGAAATTTAGAACTATGGTACATTAGAACTACGGAATTATTTAATGCCATTTCATTAGTCACTTTACACAAATTGCTTTTCATTTCCTGATTAGAGTGAAAAACCGTTTGGAATTAAGTACCTTTCCACACATATTACTTTCCACTTGTAGTTATATTTATCGAGAATGGTGGCGCCATCTATATATTAAGAGTTCAATTAATTCGTTCGGTGTTTCGGCTGTTACAGTTGGCTACCTGCTATAGAATTATTCCGCGTTTTGATGCAATTTATGAACGACAGATGGCGGCATGAAAATTTGGAACTTTTTAATGCAGTTTCATTGGTCAATCGACATAAGAGACCGTTCCACTTCATTGAACAAATCAATGATTGGAATGATGTTTCTAATAACACGACAATTTAAGGATGGAAACTGATGCATCTCTGGTTGCCTAAATTATACCGAAAAATGGTAGAAAACAGCCCTTTTTTTATTCCAATATATCTTTTTAAAGCAATGGAAGAAAGTAGTAAAATTTCATATCACATTTGGCAAAGTATAAATGAAGACAGTAAAGCAAAAATTAATTGGGATAGGTAAATAATTCGTGAGAAATTAATTTCTAAATATGAAGGTTTTTTGGACTTTTACAAA